ATATATTCTTTTTTATTTAATTTATTTTATATTTATTTTATAAAATGCCTTAAAAGTCAAGATAATTGAAGTAATATACATGAGTTTATTGCTAATTTATTTTTTATTTTATATTTTATTAGATTTATGATTAATTGATTGTAAGAAGAAAATTATCTTGAATGAAGAATATTTTAAAATTGCACATGGGACATAATTAGATGATAACAAATATGATGATTCTTTTCAAGAAGATGAAGGATGAGACCACCAAGAATCTTACACATCGTGAATGTTTAAATTTTAAATGAATATACCAAGAATCATATTTAAAATTTCTACTTTGTATCAACATTTACAATTAAGTTTTGTAGTTTATATCGTTATGATAATAAACTAAATTAATATATCATTGGTTTATGCCATATTTATGAATTACTTTAATTTTGAGTTTTTTTAGGCTTACACCTCGATTTGCCTCGAGGCTTAGGACTCCCCTCGCTAAGGCAAAGCATATTGGTTCCCGATTTCGCCTCTTTAAGAGTATACATTGGAACATCTGGCGATCCCTCAATCTAGATACTTCTTCAGGCAGAAAAAAATGAAAATAGATCCATAAGAAAGTTGGAGTTATAAAAAATGCCTGTAAATTAGGAGAAAAAAAGGTCGTGCATGCAAGAATTAGGCAAAACTACCCCAAAATCTTTGAAAAAAGTAGGCTTTATGTCAACAAACATCTTGAACACAGAAGGAATCTGCTCTGACATCAAAAGCTTTCAAGCGAGAGGGTTTGATGTCCAATCCGTAGAAGCATGTCAAGATCATATAAGTTTGCGTGCTGACAAACAAACTTTGGATTAGCATGGAGATGGCTCTCTAGTCCGCATTTTGTCAAGAGAGGATTAGTTGTCCGATTAAGTTCTTATTTTCTTCTAGTTATTTCTACTATAATTTTTAATTTTATCGTATTTTCCTATGATATTGTTGTTGTGAAAGCATCTGCACCAATAAATCACACATGGTTGTAACATTCTCTAAAAATTAAGTGGAGATTTAGTATTTCCTTCATGAGAAAAATGAGGAGAAACCAATGAAAATAGTTGAACACTTAACAATGAATGAATTAGGAACAATAAAAGGTCTCTACATGTTCTATTCTTCAACAATAAAAAAGCTGAAAGACAGAAAGATATGGTAACATTTTATTTGAAAGTTCTAAATGATATTATACCTGCTGGAAATGAAGATCAGATGGAGATGGCCGAAACATAACTGGCTCAAAGCAATTCCCGGTGTCAAAACTTTGTTGGGCTCTAACAGTACCCAAGTAATCAAGGATACAGGATTCAATTTCTTCCTCAGAGAAATCACCAACAATACTAACCTGAATTAGTAGCAAGCAGGTCAGGGCAACTAGTAGCAGGAAATTTATAGAAATAAACATTTAAAAATTAAGTCATCATTGATAATGCTAAAATTATCTCCATTAATATAATTAATAATTAAAATTCATTATAACTTGAATGCCAACTTAAATTTTAAATGCATCAAAATAACCTATTCTTTAAATTTGTCGCTGCTCCTCTCCTTCTCACTGCCACTGCTGAATGCCTCCACCATTGCAGCCACCACACAGACAAGACCATCTGCAACCTCCATTTCCCACCCCTTCTATCAATCGGTACTAAAGCCATTAGTCGTATTCAGCAAAGAGCCATATCATACAAAAGAGAGAGTTGTGTCGAATAAGAGATGGCTCTTGCGACATTTAAAGACAGGACGGAAAGAAATTGGGAGAGGAAACTGAAAGAACAAAGCAAAGATCACAAATCAAGAGAGAGAAACTCGGCATCAAAGGACAAAACAAAGGAAGAAGAAGAGTCGACTCAGGCCACGAATGGGAGGGTACCCGGGCCTTGAACGGGGTTGCGGAGTCCAAAGCGACTTCTGTTGAGAGAGATGGTCGAAGAAGACAAAAAAGACAGAAGGGTTTCGTCGAGCAATTGATGCACCATACTATTGTGTAGGTGGAGATGATGGGTTTCGTCGAGTAGGAAATCGATGTCCCCGCACAGAAGTAGCTGACTGCAAGCTTGAAGTTGGCTCGGCGTGGGAAGGAGTAATATGACAGATGATTCATGGTGCGTTGAATCAAATGAAGACAAAACAGAGGGCTCGACAGAGCTTTGATTTACGATGAGTTTTATAGTAGGGAGAGCAAGCAAGCAAGGATCGGGTTTGATACTTAAGGCATTGTACTTGCATGGCCAAGAGGAGGAAAAAAAATGGCAAGGTGCAAGATCGTGCATTTAACATCTCTCAGATTTATGTGTCGAGCATCTTTCAACGAGGAGAAGTAAAGTGCGAACAAAAGGACCATTTGACTATCTTGCAATGGCATGAGATGGATTTTTGAGCTTCACCAAGTGTTTAAAATTTGAAGAAGACAGTTGTGGTGCTTCTTGTACAATTTTCATGCAGATTTAAGGTGCTTAGTGATAAGAAGGCTTCAATTGTAAGGTTAGAATCTTTTTTTATTATGTTGATATATCATAATAATGAAATTTATTGAAGTTAAATTTACAAAGAAAATTAAAATGTTAATGACTTAATAATTAAAATTAATTTAGGTTAATTTTTATATTAATTAGAAATTGTTAAAAGACTTGAAATGACAAAATTCTAAATATTAATATGAATATAACTATAAATTAATAGTAATTAATAATAAGATGATTTGAAAAAAATATATTATATGATTTAAAACGAATTAATAATTTATATAATACATTAAAGATAAAGCAAAGGCAACTTACTTTTTGATAGTAAAATTTTAAAATAATGAGAATTTTTATACATTTGATTATAGGTTTTCATTGAAGATAAGTTAGGAGAACAAATGCCATGAGAGCAATCAATGATTGAGATGAGTACTCATATTTTTCATGTCATAGTAATATTTTGATTCTTCTCAACCAAATAATATTATTGTTACTATTACTATTTATATTTCATCACTGCATATTCATGATTTATGGTTCTATTGAATTTTTGTTCATATTATAAAAATGACGTGTACTTAGCATTACTTAACTTATCATAGATATTGAATATTGTACAAGTATATTAACTGTAAAACAAATGAGAATGAATTGATCATTGTTAGATAATTAATATTATAATAACTTTGCATGTGCATGATTGACTATGATAAAGTTCTCTCTCATATGATACTAGCTATGCAAAGCTACGGTACATGTGCACATAAATAAAAAATATTGTATTTATATTGATGTACCTTCATTGACATAAGTTTTGATGGTGCTCCTGTCACAGTTGTATAGAGATAAAAAGAATATTGAAATATAAACAAAATACAATATGATATGACTAATGTTTAAAATCATCTTTAATAATCATATCAAAGCATAACACGTAAAATACTCTTACATTCATTTACCTAAAATTTAAATAGCATTCATATTGCTTTCATTTTCATTGTCTCATTATAATTTATAAATACAAGTATTCACTATCTCTAGTTAGCTCATTTTATTATAAATGAATAATTTAGGTTTAATTATTTAATTAAAAGATGAGTAATAGAAGGAAAAACTTTTATAGAAGACACAAACACCTGAAAACGAGATAAACTTAATTATATTACCTAAACTTACTTTCTTTAGTGGCTCTTTCAATCCAATTGAATTATAATATATTAACTATATAAAATTTAATTTTCACCACATGACCGTCTGTTTTCGCCTTGGTTAATTCCAAATCATGGATTGGGTCGTGATAAAAGTGGCATCAGAGCAAAAAGTTTATGTTTAATTAATGAATCTTATTAAAAGAGCCACAAGGATATGTAACAGAAAACTCTAATATGAAATTCAAGAGATTTGAAATAGTTCTTGTAATTATAAATATAAATATAAAAATTTCAAGGACGAAATTTTTGTAAGGATGGAAGATTATAATGTCACGTATTAACATCATGAGTCATATTTAGCAAAAGAGAGAGTCTTATCATGTTTGAGAGGACTCTTGTGACACATTAAGAGGAGACAGAAGGTGATTTGGAGAGAGAATTGAAGAAAAGAAGATCAAGCAAGAGGAGAATGAAGAGAAAGGCTTGCCTGCAATATACGAAACCGTTGAATAAGCAGCACCGACTTTCGCCACGAATGTAAGGGTGTCTGATGGCCTCGAACATGCTTGCGAAGCCCCAAGCAACTTCTTCTAATCAGAGGAGAGGTGGTCGATAATGATAAAAAAACAAAAGGGTTTCATCGGGTAGCCGATGCACCATACTATTGCATAGATTAAAAAGAAGGCATTCATCGAGCAGGAAATCGACGTTCCCACACAGATGTAGTTGAATGTGGGCTTGAGGTTGGCTCAGCGTAGGAAAGAGGATTATGAAAAATGATTTCCGGTGCAAGGAATTGAATAAAAACGAAAACGAAGACGTAGGGCTCAACAAGGCTTCGATTGCAAAAAAAGGTTTATGAGCAAGCAAAGCACGCTAGCACTAATCAGGAACGCGACCTAGGGCATTGTACTTGTAGGGCCAACCAAAGTAGGAAGAAAAAGCCGCAGGACGCATGAACATGCATTAAACAACTCTCAGGTATGTGTCGAGCATCTTTCAGTTTCGAGCAATATATGTGAAGGAGAAGACCATCTAACTATGTCGCAAGGGCATGAGATAGTATTCTGAGCTCGGCCGACAAATTAAATTCTAAAAAAACTATTTATTGTGCTTATTGTGGAGGTTTTCAAGAGGGTTCAAGGAGTTTTGTGTTAAGAAGGCTTCAATTGTGAGGCTGGATTAACAATAGAATTCTAAAAATTAATAAGAATTATATTATAAAATTAAAAGAAACTAATACTAAAATAATATGAAAAAATAGATTATTTAATTTAAAATAAATTAATAATATGAATAATACAATAAAGAAAAAATAATGGCAACTTGCTCTCTAGTAGTAAAATTATAAAATATTAATAATTCCTTATACTTTTGATTTTAGGTTTTCATTAGAGATTCAGATGAGTACTCATGTTCTTATGATATAGTAATATTTTACTTCTTAACTAAATGCATTTATTACTATTGTTATTAGTTATATTTATATTATTATATATCCTTAATTTATGGTTCTAATAATAATTTTTTTTTCAAAATGTAGGAATGACACGTGTAATCAACGTTATTTAAATTATCATATATACTGAATAATATATAAATATATTTATTGTTATACAAAATGAGAATTAAAGGATCATTCTTAGATAGTAATTGCTATGGTATGCTTGCATGTGCATAACTTACTAAGATGAAGTTCACCACCTTATTCTACTAGTTATGGGAAGCTAAGATACTCAAGCATAGAAATAGAAAAGGATATTGAAATTAATGTACTAATAAAAGTACAAGTTTAAATGGTGCTCCTGTAACAGTAGCACATAGATTAAATACATATTGATATGTAAACAATACAAAAAGATAGTTAATCTTTAGAATCAGCTTTAATGATCATGTTAAATAGGTACAACCCGTCAAATGTTCTTATTGATTTAAGTAATTTTTAATTTTGAAGCATATTATTTTTTTATTCATTATGTTATTATAGTTTAGGAGTGTGAGTATTGATTATCTATAGTTGGCTCATTATTGTTTTAAACTGACATTTCAAGTTTAATTATTTGATTAAAAGATAAGCAACATAAAAGAAAATATTTATAAAAATTGCAGACAATAAAAAAAATGAGATAAATATACTTGTATTACTTTAATTTACTTTCTTTAACGACTCTTTCATCCAATTGGATATAAATTATTAGTTATATAAAATTTAATTACATTTGTTTGACTGTCTGTTCCCGCTCTGGTTAATTCAAAATCCCAGACCGGGTCGTGATACCCCTTCCACCTCAAATCAATCATGCCTAGTTCCCCTCACTTCTCTTTTGTTGGTTGCACCCTTTTTTGCCACTTCCTACCATACAAATCTCCAAAATCCATACATCTTTGCTATTACAATCAATCCCTCAATCTCACGCGCATGAGCGACCTCTCTAACCTCGGTGCACATGCCCTCTAATCCCCTACTCTCATATGCCCTCTCCCTCCACATCACCCACTTCAATTGTAGCTCATTCATCTCAATGCTTGGAGAAGATTTAGCAAGAGCGATGAGAAAAATGGAGGGGAGGAGGATTACCATTAGGTTAAGGGAGTGGACGTTATTTAGTATTTAAAGTTTTATAATGGTATGAGAGTATATAATAACTTCTAGGTAATAGATATGTAAATAAAGATCATTGGCAGTATATATGAAAATCCCCCAAAAATTAAATGAGATTCTATCAATCATATCACTGGAACAAGAAAAGAAATTAACAAAAAATTTGGGTTCTTTTAATTGGAAAAAAGATCAACAATCTCAAGAAAATGACTACTAACCTCCATATTTTCACCAAAAAACTGATTCATCACAGCTTCTTTAACTGAAAGAAGTGTTAATTTTTCCAACGAATCTGGTGTTGGCTCAACAAATCTCTCATCACCATTCAACATTGCCAACATGAGTCTGTGGGCAGTTGAACGTTCTAAGCTTTTTGGTATGGATCGGTAGTACGACAAATACAATTGCTTGGATCTTTCAAACGCATCTTCCAGCCAAACACTATGCTGCACAACAAAAAACAACCAATATCATATTTCAATATGCTAAGCATAATTCGACAAAAGAAACCTAAAGAATAATATACCGTATGAGAAGAAAAAGAAACTATCAAGTTTAATTTGAAAATATAAGAGATACATCAAGAAAACTTTTAAAAGAGCCCACACAATTGTGGCTATGCGGTTCTGGTCTGTATGACAACCGAGTATAATTGAAATTTAACTTAATAATATACATATATTACACAAATCCGCTGGGTAATATAAAAGAATTGCAATAAATGAGACCTGATCCAAGTAACAAAACCATATTCTTAAAGGGGACATAATCACAAAGGATTGACCGTAAAAATTGCAATGGCATACATAATCAGGAATTCAAAAAAATTTAAGAGAAACCATGACGCCAGACCAAACCGACTGACCCGGCCGACCATTTCCATTGGATCATAGTTGCCCCCTCCCCCAATAATCTACTAATATATATATATATATACACATATACATATTATATATATTTATCTGATTAGGGTTCATATTTTGCTTTAGAATTTTCTGTTAACGGCGTCTTTCCCTTATTAGGTTTGTATCCGAGAGTTGGTGGTGCTCCGGCTTGTATCATACTTCAAGCTGGTGATTATCTCCCGCATATTTTCTTTCTAGTCCTCCTTGTCTACTTTTTGCTGGCCTCCTGCCTGTTGCTACCCTCCCTGCATCTCGCCTGCGTACTTTCACCCTCTCTGCACCCCGCCTGCTTATTGCCCCCAACACCTGCACCACCCCTTGTTGTTGTCATCCCTTCCTAAATCTTCCCTGCTACCGCCACCCCTGCTTTCATCCTTTTTGTTTTCTGTCGCTACCCTCTTCACCACCCTAGTTTGCAGCCGCCCATCCCAAACCCCTCTTCAGTGCTCAATGGTTGACCCGCCATCAGATGGCCTTCCAACCACTTTTTCCTTAGCCGCCGCCACATTCCCACCTCACCTTAGCGTGAAAATTTTGTTTGTGTTGTGCTTTTCCCATTTTCATGATCATTAATTGTAACCCTATTTTGCTTGGCGTAAAAAAGTTTACTTCCCCTCTTAGGTTTATGGGTTCACTCCAGTAACAATTAAAATCAGAGCTAGTATAACCCAAATCCCCAAATTTATTTTTTCCCTTTGCTCAAATACCCTCTTCGACACCCAACAATCTAAACCCTGACCAAACCACCATGCAAGAACATGACGGACAACAAAAGATCTATCAACTACAGCAGAGGCTTATGAAAATTGATGATGAGGGCCTAATAGAAAATTATCCTTGATCATGATATGGAGAGTCGAAGAGGAAAAAAAGACGAGAATTTGAATTCTTCCATATGAAGGACTTCAGTGATGAGGAAGACACACCATGATGCTTCAAAATTCATTATCAGAGGCTAAGAAAGAAGGCGAACTATTGACATAGATATTTCAGAGAGAAAGTGAATCAATCAGAGTTTGACGGAGGGATGGATTCGTATGATTTCATCAAATTGTTACAATCGGTTATGAGTATTTAAGTACAAAGAAGTGTCAGAAGACAAAAGGGTGAAGCTTGCAGCTATCAAATTGAAAAAGAACGATTTCTTGTGGTGGGAAAACATGCAAAGGCAAAGAAGAAGTGACAAAATTACTATATGAGAGGAAATGAGGAATGATATGCAGAGGAAATACTTAACTCCTCACTACTAGCGGGAAATGTTTCTAAGGCTCCATCACCTACAGCAAAAACAGCCATCAATGGAGGAGTTCATGGCAAAATTTGACCAACTACAGATGAAATGTGAGTTGGTCGAGCTAGAAGAACATATTATAGCCTGAAATCTGGGAGGCCTAAAGCCGCGTATAAATAACATTGTGCAAATGCAACCCTATTAGTCATTGGGAAATGTCCAAACCTTAGCCTCGATGATGGAAAGACATCAAAAACAAAACAAGCAACCCCCTTATTCAAACAACCAACTGTAACTGTAGATACTAACAAGTATACATCCGGAAGAGTTAGAAAGACTAGATAGGAAAGTGGCAAGATAGATCTGAGTGTAAAGAAAATCGAAACAAAAAGTAATTTGCCCGGTACAGTGCCTGTTATAAGCTCTTTTAGAAGCCACAACTACGGACCCATAATCTCTAGCTGCCCCATGAGCTTAGTTATTTCATTTACGGAGAAGGGTATCATCAAGAAAGTGGGTGAGGGGAAAGCATAGGATGATCGGGATGAACTTCAACTCCAGGGAGATGAGGGAGAAATTCTTGTAATAAAAAAAGTCCTACAGATTGAACCAGAGAAGGATCATTTGTGGCTACAATATAGTATTTTCGCACCAGTTGTACAGTAAAAGCAAAGGTTTGCAATCTGATTATTCACGATGGGAGCTGTGAGAATGTAGTATACTTTCTAATGGTGAAGAAATTGGAGTTGGTGACACAGAAACATTCTTAAACCTGCGCCCTTGGTTAAAAAAAGGAAATGTGGTACATGTGGATCAATAATGCTTGGTTGAGTTTTTTTTAATTGGAAATCAGCTACAGGAGCATGTGTGATATACGAGGTGTTACTTATGGATGCTTGCCAACATCATGGGTTCACAAATACTTAATTCATTCAAGAAGAATGGAAGACATATAATTCTTATGTTCGTCAAGCACACGAGTAGATATCACAGAGGAGATAATAAACTTAAGAGTCACCTTCATGCAATCTCCAATGGCAATGACTTTAGTTAGGTTAGAGGGCACTAAAGAGGAGGTCGAGATCTCATAGCCCATACTACCACTGCTATGTGACTTTCAAGATGTGATGACTCAAAGACTTCCATAGGGATTGCCACCATTCAAGGAAATTCAGCATGCCATAGATCTCATCCCCGGATCTATGCTACCAGAAAAATTTTCCTATAGATTGAAACCTCCTAAGTACAAGAAATTACAGCGACATGTAAAGAATCTCTCTGCAAGAGGTTTAGTCAGAGAGAGTGCTAGCCTATGTACTATTCCCACTTAATGGTACCTAAAAAGAATAGATCGTAAAGGATGTGCAATGCTAGTCAGACCATCAACAAAATCACCATTAAATACAGGTTCCCCATATCTCGCCCGGATGACCTATTGAATCAGTTGCATTGAGCCATTATCTTCTCCAAGAATGATTTACACAACATATATCATCAGATCCATATGAGATCAGAGTACAAGTTGATAACCTCTTTCAAGATCCGAGATGGCTTATACGAGCAGACAGTCATTTCTTTTGGATTGTCTAATGTGTCCAACACATTCATGAGGTTGATGAATCAAGCATTCTAGAATCATAGACGCAAATTTATAGTGGTGTATGTCGAAGATATTATGGTATATAGTAGATCCAAAAGAGTAGCACTTGCAGCACATGGCGACGGTCTTCGAGGTTTTGTGATCATTTAAACTATATGCCACTAAAGAAGTTCACTTCTTAATAGCACGTGTATGTGCTTTGAGCTATCTTGTGTCAAGTGCAAATATTTAGATGGAACCTGTAAAGATCATGGTCATTGTGTGCTGGACAACCCCACAGTCTTTTACCAAGTTGAGATGCTTTTTTGGGGTTGGCACCAATAAGTGATTCATCCAGAACATTAACATCATCATGATTTTCTTTGGAGAACTTTTAAAAAATGAGAAGTTTCAATGGACAGATGCAGCTTAATCTAGTTTCAATACCCTAAAAGAGAATGCGACTCAGGCACCAATAGTCGCATTATTGGACTTCAATCGGTTGATCGAAATGGAGTGTGGCACCTCAAATGTGGGGATCGGAGTAGTATTGAGTCAAGGAAGCCACCCTATAGCCTTCTTCAGCTAATGGTTGAATGAGTGCAAGAGAAAATATTCGACAAACGACAGAAGTTCTAGGGGCGTCAAGGCCCAGCCCAATGCTTAGAATTAACCAAGGCGGGTACAGACGATCAGTCACATTGGATCACTCCTACAAATGATATGATTTTTTTTCAAAAATTAAAGGATTTGATCAAACAGTCATTAGTACCTTTAGGGATAGATAAACACTCGGTATTAGTGTAACGAGCTAGAAGAGTGGTGATCGACTATCGGCTGACTCAAAAGCGTAAGAAGATGCACAAAGAAAAAACAACGTTAAAGAAAAAGAAGATCATATGGATCAATCAGAGGGTTTAAAGGGAAAGAAGTCCAAGAACAATTCGGGTGGAGTTAGCAGATGTATGACTCAGAATACAATAGACACTTGTGTCAAATTCAGAAGACAACATAAAAGTGAATGTTTAATGGGCTCTAATACTTGCTATTGGTCTCGTCAGTCTAGACATATAACAAGATATTATCCATTTCTTGACCAGAGAAGCGTTCAAGATCCAAAAGCATGTGGAGCTCCTTCACAGAAGACTACAGTTGGACAGAAAAAAGATAGTCTATAGTTTCGGCACTGACCCAAGGTCACCCAAAACAAATTATTAAACCTCGAGTATTTTTTTAAAAAAAAACCAAGGGCTAACATATTAAAGAGAGGAAAAGGTATAGATAGGTTGAAGGTATAGATAGGTTGTATGAGAGGGCTTAAAAGAAGGTCCAACTCACACAATACAACACACACAAAAACTCAACAAAGCAAGTATACATAAAGATAAAAAATCAAAAAGCCACCAACGGGCACAAAAGTGCTAGGTACGTCCCACTTTAGTTCTCCCTCTGTCTCTAGCTCAAGGAAGGGAACCAGCTAACAAATTAGAAAGGTGCGTATCATTACTCGAATTAACCAAAATATCGTCCATCAGATTTCTGAGCTCAAGTAGATCTTCATTCTTCTTCTTCCTCCTGGATGTGTAGACCTGTCATTCCTCATTCAAAAATTTACTCATCTGATATATATATATATATATATATATATGATTATATAAAGTAGTTGTTTCGGCACTCTTAAGCTTTTTCTTCAAGTCTGTAATGTACTTTTATGTATTTTTTAGTTTGGGA